AATGAATATAAAAAACAATCAAATTATGTAAATTATCTGCATTACCAAAGTATAGCGGCAAAAACGAAACGGCTATTTAAACAAAAACGAAAATCCAGTTGGATTTCGTTTATAAACAAAATAAATAAAAGCACACCAATATCAGATATATGGCGATTTATGAAGTCAATAAATAAAAAATCTCATACGTCCAAAAAAACTCAAATCCCAAATGAATTAATAAAAAAACTATTCGATATTTTAGCCCCTCCATCTGTCCCTGGTAACCTCTTTGGTCCTCAATTTATATTTCACTCTGAGTCAGATTATTTGTTGAAATCTTTTAGCTACTCTGAATTGGATTTGATTTTGAAAAACACACGAAATACAGCACCTGGGCTAGACGGGTTTACCTATAAAATTCTATATAATTTACCACCCATAGCTAAACTCGCACTCTTAACAATCTTTAACAATTGGTGGATGAAACAAGAATACACAGAAAAATTTAAAGATATTATAATCTGTCCCATACTAAAACCGCAGAAAAATCCTGATTTACCTTCATCATACCGTCCTATAGCATTAATATCGTGCATAACAAAAACATTTGAACGCTTAATCAAGTTAAGATTAGAACATTTCTTAGAGAGCAAATTATTGCTACCGACCTTTCAATATGGCTTTCGAAGAGGGAAAGGAACACTAGATGCAGTCTCTCATTTAGTGACAGATACACAAAGGTGTTTTGCTAAAAACGAATACTTAATGTGTCTTTTTATAGATTTAAAAGGAGCCTATGATGTTGTAGATTTAAACATACTTTACACAAAAATGCTTAATATTGGTATAAACAAAAAGGTTTCAGTTAATATTTTAAACTTGTTTCAGAATCGAAAATTATATCTCAGAGATCATAATAACATATTACATGGTCCACGTTTAGTCTATAATGGTCTCGCACAAGGCTCTATTTTAAGTCCGTTACTTTTCAACATATACACAGCCGAATTGCATGGTTTATTTGATGACAATATTAATATTATCCAATACGCCGATGATATCTGCTTATATGTCTCCCATAAAACATATGAAGAATGCTACAGAGATTTGCGATATATACTATATTGCCTTAAAAGTTGGTTATTCGAATTAGGTTTTAGTATGTCACCAGAGAAATCTGCCATTATGTGCTTTTCAAGACACAGAAGGAGATTTCCAGATAATATTACTATTGGTGAATATACTATCCCTGTTGTCGAACATTACAAATATTTAGGTATTTTCTTAGACAAAAAACTATTATGGACCAAACATATACAATACTTAAGATCAAAATGTGAGAAAGGTATAAATCTTCTAAAGGTTGTATGCAAGCAAACATATGGAGCTGATCCTAACTTATCCATTATGTTCTATAGGTCCTACATTCGTTCTCTTATCGATTATGGGTGCACATTATACGGATCCGCATCCAATACTAACTTGTTAGTATTGGATCGCATACAATACAAGGCCTTAAAAATATGCTTAGGTGCAATGAAGTCATCACCGAATCATGCAATTCTAGCTGAGTCACAAGAACCTCCGTTAGCATTTCGCAGACATTACTTGGCGAATAAAGCAGTAGTCAAATATAGATCATATAATACGTTTATAACAAATCAAATCTCAACTATTGCTATAGAAAACCTTACAAATAGATATTGGAAGAAAAAAAACGCGCCACCTCTAGCTGAAGCCTTTGTTGATACCAGTAATCTCGAAAATCATATAACTAAATACGAACAATACCCGATATTTCTTTATACATTTAAAACAATAATTGTTAAACCCGACATCATATTTCCTACATACTCCGAAATACCCTCTTTGAATAATGCCATCTTGAAAGGAATATTAAATAGATTCATAGACTATGACGTAAATATATACACAGATGGATCCAAAAGTAAAATCGGAACTGGTTTCGGAATTTTTGTTTCAACCACAAATCATATTGAAAAATATCGTATTTCAGACATATCTTCAATATTTACGGCCGAAGCTTTAGCAGTACAAAAAGCACTAGAATGGGTTAAAAATAATTCAATTCAGAAAGCTATAATATTATCTGACTCTAAATCGGTACTACAAGCTCTACAAGGATGCCCATTGAAATATTATAACAATGAAATCATATTTAGAATTAAAGAACTAATTAAAGATGCCAAAATAAAAAACATAAAAATACAGTTCATTTGGGTTAAAGGCCACTCAGGTATTGTAGGAAATGAAATAGTAGATGAGGCTGCCAAACAAGCATGTAGTATTGAAAATATCACAAAATCTCCTAATAATAATGATATCTTGTGTAAACTAAAGAAGGACATTAGGGACAAATGGTCGGCTTTATATAATGAGTTTGTTAGCAGATCAAAAAACCATTACTTTTTAATACATCCTACCCTCCCAAAAGATATTCCAAACCTCTATTTCTCTACTTCTAGAACATATTCTACCATTATAACGCGACTTAAACTAAATCACGGACGTTTTCCTCATCATCTGAACAAAATAGGAATTTTAGAGAATCCCTACTGTCCTTGCGACAATTCAAGTATTGCAGACTTGAACCACCTATTCTTCCACTGTTCCAATAATAATAATGCTATAATACAATTAATATCTGAGCTAAAAAACTTTAATATATTCCCCCCACTTAATATTACCACTCTTCTTAATAGTTTTGACAAGAACATATATGACCTATTAGTACAATTTATATATGAAACCAAAATAGTTATATAATATATTGTAATAATACCACAAACAATCTGTGGCAAATGGACTTCGAATCCGATGCCAGCCCCCACCCAACACACACACACACACACACATTATTTATTCCCTGAAACTTATTTTATCAATGAGTGGAATTACTAAAAATTAGTTATTATGACCTTAATTATCCATTTTATAACAATTAATAAATATTGGCTTACATTTAAAAAAAAAAATAGATTTGGGTTTCATTCAGAAAAGTTCGTATCTGGCGTCCATATTGGGTTGACAACATCCACGCCAAGTGAATCTATGAAAAAGATACTTATAGTGTTTCCCTACCTTATAACTCCATGGGCCCGATGGCACGGTGTTGCCAGCAATTTTATTTTTGAGAGATCGTACAAGTATAGTAGAAAAAAAGTATATTAGCCAATTTTTCGGCAAAAAAATCGTACAATGTCAGAAAAATTTAAACTTGACATGATATATATTTATTATTAAAGAAAATATATTAATAAATTATACAGCAAATGGGTTGCCTAAAAAATACTGTCAAGGCTATTTTTTACTTTTCTTTCTGTATACAGATAAGGAATGTATACAAATCATCGTAAAAGTTTTTTATGATGTCAATCTCTATAATTTTGGTCAAATACATGATTTCCCTAAAATGAACCGTATTCGAGATATTTGAGGGAAAGTGCAAATTTAAAATTTTGAAGATAACTCAAACGGATAAAGAGGAAAACATCAAATTTTAAACTTAAGCTTTAATCCATCCTGCAGTGAGCTGGGGGATACCTTATAGGATGTCGGTTTCTTTACTTTGAGAAAATAAATGGTCTTTGCAGTGGTTTTTTAGGCAACTCATACCCATATGCAGTATATTCATAAACATATTTTATTTATTTAAAAAAAAAAACCTTTCATCCGGTAAGCAGATGACCAAAGGTCGACCCTACTTCTTATCTGAGACTAGTATAAGTGGAACGAAAGTATAAATCTATGCAAGTAGTTTTTATATTGTTTTATGTTTTGAATTAATTTAGTTGTTGCAGACTTTTAGATGAACCTACCAAAAAAGAAAAGATCGTATTTTTACGTACGATCTCACTGATGCGATCGTACATCATACAGAGAGTTGAAAAATCGTATAAATACCATTTAAATCGTACGGTTGGCAACACTGCTACGGCATGAAGGAGTTCTGGTGGAAGGAGTATTACGTAACATATATGGCGCGCTCAATTGCATTCGGTTTTTGTAAAACAAGGGTATCCCATTATACCCCGATACCCCATATTGCCCCGGGTTCCCCTACGTTTACCACCCTTACAACGCTATAAATAATTAAATTTTTCGTAAAATACAAACCAAAAATTGACTTATGTTAGAAAGTGTCAGAACTGGCGCTGTCAAATTTGACAACGCTGATTGAATAAGCCAATTATAGGAGAGGAATTTCCCCCCTCGGGGGAAGTAGACGTTGATTACAAAATTAAGTAGTAATTGCTCGAAGGCAAATACAGACTTCAGGACAAATTTTGGCTTGCATCCTTTTTATACCAAGGGCTTCAAATAACATCCTCAGCTTTTTTTATCAATGATTTTGACACGCTGTGAAAACAAAAAATGTCACTTTATATATGTTAAAATTAGAAAAAATAGTTTTAGATGAAATGAGATCGGATGAACCTATAGACATCATAATTATATTTTTGGGTAAATCACATTACACTAAATTAAATTAATTAATACGCAAAACAATCTTGATTTACATAAAACAGCTATTTGTGTATTAAGACCGAAAAGTGATACTTTGTCGCTTGAGACAAAAAGTGGCAACAAACTTTTCGCTCAAAATGCACACAATATTTTTTCTACGATCACACTTTTTTTAGAAATACATATAAAAACTGAAAATTTGTCGTAAGTAGTGTATAGTGTGTTGCCTATACTTACGTTAAACATGAAAAATAGCAGTTGATATTCAAAGTCCCTGTTAACTTGGATAATATAACAAAAAAAAACATGTAACTACGTACAAATAACTTGGAAATCATTTATTAAAAAGAAATATATATTATAGATAATTTAAATTGGGCGAGCAACAAAGCTGTCAACTTTGCGGTGTGATTTCGAAGCGAATAGTGATCGTAGAAAAAAGTATTTTCTTTAATTTCGTGTTTTTTGTATCCACTTTTGATCAATACTATGGTCATGCCAAATAATCATTTTAATTATTTCTATTTCAGAAAGTTTAAGAAAATGGTCCAACTTTCCAAATACTGATCGTGTTTGTACAAAAGACTTTGTCATTGAACCAGAATTACCAGGCGAAAAACGTGTAGTAATTGAAAAGGGAATCCATATAGAATTGCCAATATTTGCAATGCATCATGATCCTAAATATTTCCCAAATCCTGAACGTTTCGACCCAGAGAGATTCAGCGATGAAAATAAGGACATGATTGATCCCTATACTTACTTTCCGTTTGGACTGGGCCCAAGACTGTGTATAGGTTCAAGGTTTGCATTAATGGAAGTTAAGGTCTTAATTGCTCATCTTTTATTAAGCTTCGAAATAGTACCTATTAAGAAAACACAAATCCCTATAAAATTATCAAAAACGCGTTTTAGTGTTTATCCTGCAGATGGAGTTAACTTAGGATTGAAAAGGTTAAAGTTATGAGTCGACTATAAACATTTATTTTATTTAAACTTTATTAATAAATTGATTAAAAGTCTGTAGTATTTTTATTTATGATATCCCCTTAAAAGTAAAATACATGGTGAACGTTCTAACCTAACCTAACTAAGGTTGCAATCTACATAGCGTTGACCATACAAGACTGTAAACTATGATACAAAAAACAGAGGTATGATACTTAGCCGACAAAATCTTGTCGATTTTGCGCATGACGTATTGTGATGATTGGCCATATGACGATTAAAATTTATCTTCACACGTTGTTTTTCGATCAGCTGATACGTCAAATTCATAAAATCCACGCTTTCCACCACATTATGTCACCGAGACGTATAGTATCAATCTGCGTCATATCATATCTTCTTTTTATAGTATCATAACTGTAAACCATAAACAAATTTAAAAAAAAAATTAAAATCAAATGCCAAGCCCCGAGAATCCTGGAAACAGGGACCTGCCATACAGGCTGAACTCGTCTGGTATATAGACGGTTCGAAAATCAAGAAAGGATCCGATGTTGGAATATTTTTTTTGATTGTTTTGTACAAATAGTTCGTAATGTGCATGTTCTGTATTACCTCTAAACATCACAGTTTTGCCATTTTTGATTAGGTCGGCAGGTTCGTTTAGCGTTCCATTGGTGGTCAGTTCAGTAAATAAAAACAATTGCTGTTAGTGACTTTTATGACACCTTAAATAACCGTTTTGTCTATTAGGTAAGTGGCATTGTTTTAGGTTTACTTCAGTAGTTATTAATGTTACTTTTGATCAACTGACGACATCAGTTTAGTCAGTGTGTAGTAGTTCTCGTCAAAGTAGACATTGATTAAAAAATAACACCAATTACAGATTTTCGGTTTTTTTGTCAAGAAGTTGTATTTTAATACGTTACGTATATTATCAAACTATTAATCGACTACGGTAGTGTAGGGTGTCTACGGCGTGGCATTCATTTGCGAGCCAATTTTGTGGTACAACAGAAACAGATTTCGAATCCTACAGAAGACCATGTGAATTTATTTGCATGGGTCTCTATAGGATTTGATGGATGTCGTATTAGCAGAAATTTAATTTATGTTGATATGACATGCAGATTAAACAAATCGCCATGCGTTACCGTTTTTGATGGTGGGTGATGTTTTCCGGGTTTTGTAAATCAAATGGTGCCATCAATCATCTTTAAGTCACCCCGGAGCGCCACGGAAAATAATAATAAAATAATAATAATAATAATAATAATAATAATAATAATAATAATAATAATAATAATAATAATAATAATAATAATAGAATAGAATAAATAGAATAGAATAGAATAGAATAGAATAGAATAGAATAGAATAGAATAGAATAGAATAGAATAGAATAGAATAGAATAGAATAGAATAGAATAGAATAGAATAGAATAGAATAGAATAGAATAGAATAGAATAGAATAGAATAGAATAGAATAGAATAGAATAGAATAGAATAGAATAGAATAGAATAGAATAGAATAGAATAGAATAGAATAGAATAGAATAGAATAGAATAGAATAGAATAGAATAGAAATAGAATAGAATAGAATAGAATAGAATAGAATAGAATAGAATAGAATAGAATAGAATAGAAGAATAGAATAGAATAGAATAGAATAGAATAGAATAGAATAGAATAGAAATAGAATAGAAAAGAATAGAATAGAATAGAATAGAATAGAATAGAATAGAATAGAATAGAATAGAATAGAATAGAATAGAATAGAATAGAATAGAATAGAATAGAATAGAATAGAATAGAATAGAATAGAATAGAAGAATAGAATAGAATAGAATAGAATAGAATAGAATAGATAATAGAATAGAATAGAATAGAATAGAATAGAATAGAATAGAATAGAATAGAATAGAATAGAATAGAATAGAATAGAATAGAATAGAATAGAATAGAATAGAATAGAATAGAATAGAATAGAATAGAATAGAATAGAATAGAATAGAATAGATAGAATAGAATAGAATAGAATAGAATAGAATAGAATAGAATAGAATAGAATAGAATAGAATAGAATAGAATAGAATAGAATAGAATAGAATAGAATAGAATAGAATAGAATAGAATAGAATAGAATAGAATAGAATAGAATAGAATAGAATAGAATAGAATAGAATAGAATAGAATAGAATAGAATAGAATAGAATAGAATAGAATAGAATAGAATAGAATAGAATAGAATAGAATAGAATAGAATAGAATAGAATAGAATAGAATAGAATAGAATAGAATAGAATAGAATAGAATAGAATAGAATAGAATAGAATAGAATAGAATAGAATAGAATAGAATAGAATAGAATAGAATAGAATAGAATAGAATAGAATAGAATAGAATAGAATAGAATAGAATAGAATAGAATAGAATAGAATAGAATAGAATAGAATAGAATAGAATAGAATAGAATAGAATAGAATAGAATAGAATAGAATAGAATAGAATAGAATAGAATAGAATAGAATAGAATAGAATAGAATAGAATAGAATAGAATAGAATAGAATAGAATAGAATAGAATAGAATAGAATAGAATAGAATAGAATAGAATAGAATAGAATAGAATAGAATAGAATAGAATAGAATAGAATAGAATAGAATAGAATAGAATAGAATAGAATAGAATAGAATAGAATAGAATAGAATAGAATAGAATAGAATAGAATAGAATAGAATAGAATAGAATAGAATAGAATAGAATAGAATAGAATAGAATAGAATAGAATAGAATAGAATAGAATAGAATAGAATAGAATAGAATAGAATAGAATAGAATAGAATAGAATAGAATAGAATAGAATAGAATAGAATAGAATAGAATAGAATAGAATAGAATAGAATAGATAGAATAGAATAGAATAGAATAGAATAGAATAGAATAGAATAGAATAGAATAGAATAGAATAGAATAGAATAGAATAGAATAGAATAGAATAGAATAGAATAGAATAGAATAGAATAGAATAGAATAGAATAGAATAGAATAGAATAGAATAGAATAGAATAGAATAGAATAGAATAGAATAGAATAGAATAGAATAGAATAGAATAGAATAGAATAGAATAGAATAGAATAGAATAGAATAGAATAGAATAGAATAGAATAGAATAGAATAGAATAGAATAGAATAGAATAGAATAGAATAGAATAGAATAGAATAGAATAGAATAGAATAGAATAGAATTAATAGAATAGAATAGAATAGAATAGAATAGAATAGAATAGAATAGAATAGAATAGAATAGAATAGAATAGAATAGAATAGAATAGAATAGAATAGAATAGAATAGAATAGAATAGATAGAATAGAATAGAATAGAATAGAATAGAATAGAATAGAATAGAATAGAATAGAATAGAATAGAATAGAATAGAATAGAATAGAATAGAATAGAATAGAATAGAATAGAATAGAATAGAATAGAATAGAATAGAATAGAATAGAATAGAATAGAATAGAATAGAATAGAATAGAATAGAATAGAATAGAATAGAATAGAATAGAATAGAATAGAATAGAATAGAATAGAATAGAATAGAATAGAATAGAATAGAATAGAATAGAATAGAATAGAATAGAATAGAATAGAATAGAATAGAATAGAATAGAATAGAATAGAATAGAATAGAATAGAATAGAATAGAATAGAATAGAATAGAATAGAATAGAATAGAATAGAATAGAATAGAATAGAATAGAATAGAATAGAATAGAATAGAATAGAATAGAATAGAATAGAATAGAATAGAATAGAATAGAATAGAATAGAATAGAATAGAATAGAATAGAATAGAATAGAATAGAATAGAATAGAATAGAATAGAATAGAATAGAATAGAATAGAATAGAATAGAATAGAAATAGAATAGAATAGAATAGAATAGAATAGAATAGAATAGAATAGAATAGAATAGAATAGAATAGAATAGAATAGAATAGAATAGAATAGAATAGAATAGAATAGAATAGAATAGAATAGAATAGAATAGAATAGAATAGAATAGAATAGAATAGAATAGAATAGAATAGAATAGAATAGAATAGAATAGAATAGAATAGAATAGAATAGAATAGAATAGAATAGAATAGAATAGAATAGAATAGAATAGAATAGAATAGAATAGAATAGAATAGAATAGAATAGAATAGAATAGAATAGAATAGAATAGAATAGAATAGAATAGAATAGAATAGAATAGAATAGAATAGAATAGAATAGAATAGAATAGAATAGAATAGAATAGAATAGAATAGAATAGAATAGAATAGAAGAATAGAATAGAAATAGAATAGAATAGAATAGAATAGAATAGAATAGAATAGAATAGAATAGAATAGAATAGAATAGAATAGAATAGAATAGAATAGAATAGAATAGAATAGAATAGAATAGAATAGAATAGAATAGAATAGAATAATAGAATAGAATAGAATAGAATAGAATAGAATAGAATAGAATAGAATAGAATAGAAATAGAATAGAATAGAATAGAATAGAATAGAATAGAATAGAATAGAATAGAATAGAATAGAATAGAATAGAATAGAATAGAATAGAATAGAATAGAATAGAATAGAATAGAATAGAATAGAATAGAATAGAATAGAATAGAATAGAATAGAATAGAATAGAATAGAATAGAATAGAATAGAATAGAATAGAATAGAATAGAATAGAATAGATAGAATAGAATAGAATAGAATAGAATAGAATAGAATAGAATAGAATAGAATAGAATAGAATAGAATAGAATAGAATAGAATAGAATAGAATAGAATAGAATAGAATAGAATAGAATAGAATAGAATAGAATAGAATAGAATAGAATAGAATAGAATAGAATAGAATAGAATAGAATAGAATAGAATAGAATAGAATAGAATAGAATAGAATAGAATAGAATAGAATAGAATAGAATAGAATAGAATAGAATAGAATAGAATAGAATA